TTTTGCTTAGCCATTTTCAGTTAATAATACCTCAATGTTCCCACTTTTTGGCTATTAATAATAAAACTACTGTGAACATTCACACTCATCTTATGCTTGGACATATGTTTTCCTTTCTCATATAAATTCCTAGGAGTAGAAATACTCAGTTGTATGGAAAGTTTACATGTAACATTTTTAGAAAATACCCAGATGTTTTCCAAAGTGTCTGTGTCATTATCTTCAGGAATGTATGAGGATTCCAGTTTCTCTACTTCCTCACACTTACTGTCTTTTTTATCATAGTCAGTCTAGTGGTTGTGTGTCTCATTATGGTTTTTACTTTGCATTGCCCTATTAACTGATACTGAGATATTTTCATGTGCTTATTAACCATTCATATATCTTCTTTAGTAAAATTTCTATTGAAATATTTTGCCCATTTTATGAATCAGTAAAGTTGCAGGATAAAAATTCAATATACATATATCTGCTGATTCTAGATACTAATAATGAACTGTGAGAAAGAGAAATTAAGAAAACAATATCTAGAAATAATTTAAACAACAAAGTAAAAGACCTGTACACTGAAAACTGAGACACTGATGAAAGAGACTGAAATAACAAATTGGAAAGCTCATGCCCATGGATTGGAGGAATTAATATTAAAATTTCCATACTATCCAAAAGCATCTACAAATTCAATGCAACTCTACCAAAATTACTGTACTTTTTTCACAGAAATAGAATAATCCTAAAGTTTTCATAGGAACACAAAAGACCCCAAAAGCCAAAGCAATCTTGAGGAAGAACAAAGCTAGAAGCACCATGCTCCCAGATTTCAGTCCATATGGTTTTTGGCATAAAAATAGACATGTAGATGAACAGAACAGAATAGAGAGCCTAGAAAAAAACTCAGGCATATGTGGTCAATTTATGGCAAAAGGGGCCAAATATGCAATGAGGAAAGGACAGACTCATCAATACATGGGATTGAAAACTGGACCAATAACTTACACCATGTAGAAAAATCTCAAATGGATTAAAGAACATGAATGAAGACCTGAAACCATGAAACTCCTAAGAGAAACCATAGGTGGCAAGCATCCTTACATCTGTCTTGGTGATGATTTTTTTAATCCAACACTGTTCCAAAGAAAGGCAACAAAGACATAAAAATAAGTGGTACTACATCAAACTAAAAAGCTTCTGCACAGCAAAGGAAACCATCAAGAAATGCTAGGCAACCTACTGAATTGGAGACAATATTTTTAAATTATATATCTGATAAAGGGTTAATAATCCAAAATTTATAAAGAACTCATACAATAAAAAAAAAAGTTCAATTAAAAAAATGGGCAGAGGATCTCAGAAGACATTTTCCAAAGAAGACTACAGTTGGCTAAGAGGCACATGAAAAGATGCTGAACATCAGAGAAATGCAAATCAAAACATGAGATATCACCTCACATCTATTCAAATGGCTAGTATAAAAAACAAAAACCAAGAAATAACTAGTGTTGGATATGGAGAAAAGAGAACCCTTGGGCATTGTTGGTGGGAATGTAGGTTGGTACAGCCACTATGGAAAAAGTATGGGGTTCTTCAAAAAATTTAAAGTAGACATACTATACGATCCAACAATTCCACTTCTGGGTAGAATTCCAGAAGAAATAAATACCCAAAGAAAATCAAAATATTAACTCAAAAAGATACATATACCTTGACAATTGCCAACATATGAAAATCCAAGGAAGTGTCCATCATGGATTAATGGATAAAGAGAATGTGTTATGTATATGCAATGGAATACCATCCAGGCATAAAAAAGAATGAAAATTTTCCATTGTGACAACATGAATGGAGCTTGAGGGCATTCTGCTACGTGAAATAAGTCAGACCGAGAAAGAGAAATACAGCACAATCTCACATGGAGAACCAAGAGAAAAAATAATAAGCTCAGATTCAGAGAACGGATCAGTGGCTGCCAGAGGTAGGTGTTAGGGGATGGCCAAAATGGGCAGAGGGAGTCAAAAGGTACAAACTTCTAGTTTTAAAATAAAGTCACGGGGATGTAATATACAACATGGTGACTGTAGTTACTAAGTCTATTGCATGTTTCAAAGTTGCTAACAAAGTAGACCTTAAAAATTTTCATCATAAGGAAAAATTACATTCTGTAACTATGGGTGGATATACTTGACTTATTTTGCTGATCATTTTGTAATATATACAAATATCATTATGATGTGCACCTAAAACTCATATAATGTTCTGTGTCAACTATATCTCAAAAAAAGAGATAAAGATCTAAGACTTACCAAGATAGATAGATAGATAATTCCAACAGTTCTTGGAAATAGAGATACAGATTGTTTCCCAGGTTAAAGTTTTTAAATTGCTTTCTTTGCTAATTGTTTTATGGTCAGACTGTAAGTCCTTGACATTTAAAGACTTTGCACATTCCACTGACTCCTCACGAGTTCTTGTTGGAATTCAGGTAGGTAGGTAAGTAAACACTGGATTTTGGTCTTTTGGGTCCCCCAAGCCTGTGAAGTATTGTCAGCAGCAGTGGGAAGGTATATAAGACAGTGAGCTTAGGGACAGAAGGTTTAGAAACCCAAGGTAGATCTGGAACAGGTTGACTGCCTCTGTTGTGGGGGAATTGAATCAGAGGACGAGACCAGGAAGCTGTGGAGAAATGGATTTATACTGCTGGCTAGCTGGCCTTTAAAAACCATTACAGAAGGGAAGCAAATAATGATAAAATAAGTTTTATTCAAAATGAAGTGGTGTTGATATTAATGTAGATGGTGTTAATATCTTCAAACTGCAAGCATCTTTGCTATTGGAAAAAGCACAAATCCAAAGTAAAGGTCAAGAGCTTTAGCAGAAACTTAGGAAAGAATGGAGTTGTATTAAAAAATAACAAAACTTCCTAGGAAATGATCGGTAAGAGAGAACTGATTATAGTGGGGCAGAACTTCAGCCATGTGGTAGAAGAGCTGGACACACAGTATGAGCCAAAGGCCTTGAAGAATTGGGAGCGGTAAGGGGGGTGGGTAGGGATTGGAGGGGTTATGCAGATCACCTCACCTTTTTTTAGACAGGAGGTATGGAGAGGGCCCATGTGACAGGTGACCTCATTGGTGCTGTCCAGAAAATTCATGATTGACTGCTAAGACTACGTTTCTGGAATAGGTCAAAATTGTAATTAAATCTTCATTTAGGAGGCCATTTGGGCTTGTTTCTTTTTTTTTAACAGAAGAAACCAGATTTCAGAAATGTTCACCTGGACCAAAAATTAACTGAAGTAGATTTCTGACATTCAGCAGAGGATTTTTATGCCCAGATGTTTCAAACTAAGCAGTTGGCAGAATGCTTAAAGGTTAATGCTAACCATCTGTCAACTTCACAGTTCCAAGATGGGAGTGTGCCGTTACTAGCTCCATCTTACAGATCCCAACCCTGATGCTTGGGGGAGGCTGAGACCCCGAAGCCATGTGGCTGGTCTAGGCTCAGGGCTTGTCTGGCTGTGGGTGGAGGCCCCCCTACCCATCACCCCACCCTGCCCTTGTGGTTTCTGTTAGAATGCCAGCCCTCTGGGGATGGACTTGCCCCAGTGTTTTGCACAGAGATGGGTGTGAAGTTCTTGTGTGAGGGCTGCCGTGTTAGCAGATTCTTCTGGAGTGAGTCGAACAAGCCTGTGGGCAGGTTCTGTCTGAGGTGGCAGGTCCCACCCTGGCCTCTGATCTCCATGCCCAGGGTGGATGAGCACTGCACTGGGGGCTCAGAGCCTGGCAGGCAGGGGCAGGCGGACCCCACTGAGGAAGCAGGTAACACAGTGCCACACCGGAGCTCTGACTGGGACAGTGGGCTCCTCACATTCTCCACATGGCCTCAGGAGACAGCCCTGAGAAATCTGCCCTTCTCTCAGTTCTGCCTGCCTGGAAGTGCTCCCAGAGTGACCCCCAGTGGCTCGCCCAGCCTGCTCCTGTGACCTTTGGCCTCACCTAGCTATCTGAAATGCTATTAAATTAGCACCCCACCCCCACCCACCCTGCATCCCCATCCCCACCCCCACCCCCCGCAAAACTGCCTGAGGAGATGGCTGCGATAACAGTAACAATGCTTCGGGCTGGGCTCTCTATCCAAAGCAAGGTCTTATCTGATATGGGTTTAGAGGCACTTTGGAGACCCCATCACTGGAAAGGGCTGGTGTGAGCGCAGCTGGAGGCCTCTGCTCCTGCCCAGAAAGAGCCAGACCTCTGGGCGAGGGGCCGGAGCTCTGTGCCCGACCTGCTTCATCCCCTCAGGTTCTCATCAGGTGAGTGTGTGTGGAGCCCCTTTCCGCTCCAGCGGCCAGTGAGCATGGAACTGGCTACCTCAGGAGCGGTTCTGCCGAATCAGTCAGGCCTGCGGCTGGAGTGGCAAGTGCCGAGCCAGCAGGGGCCTGCATGAGGCCTCGCTGCTGTGGCCATATTTTGCACAAGTCTTGCGGTTCCAAGTGATGCTGAAACCAGTTGCTGCCAAAGCTGAATGGAAGAGACTTGCCCACCTTCCTGGCAGCTCGGTCAGAACCCGGCGGAAGGCAGGCCACGGGCTGTGGGAGGAATTCTGTTCTGGAGAGGAAAGCGTCTGCCCAACCGGAGGTTACACGTGCCACCGTTTGTTTGTGCCTCCTGACTGCTGCTGTCAGTGTAGCCGCGAAAGCAATAAAAGAGTCGGTTCCAAAGTTTATCTCCTCTGGTTCCAGTCTTTAGAGAGATTTCCCTTTACAGGTTGTAGCTAAATAGGGATAATCTAGTTAAGGAAAAACAATTGATCTAGACACAAATGAACAAAACAAAAACATTTTTGGAGAAAAACTGGCTTTGTCCGACCCTCCCCTTTGTGTGTGGTGTCTCCAGGCTTCATTGCTTAAAAGAAAAGGGGGCGTTTAATAATTACCTTTGTTGACCTCTGTACCTTCTGGCTTCCTCCACTCCTGGGCACAAGACATGGCCATTCCTAGGGTGTGACAGTGCAGACGCAGGCTCTGCGTCTCCCAGGCTCTGCAGGGTTGAGAAGAAGGTAAGGCTGTTGGGTGGTGGGAGGCTCACCGCTTTTCTGGCAGGGACTGGAGAGGGTCCTTATTTAGAGAAAGGGTCCTGGAAAAGACCATCAACTACTGCAGCCCTCAGCTGATTCTCGGCAGTTTTCTCATACCTGGCATCACTCAGTGAAAAACTCCATTCCGTGGCCCTCTCGTGCGCCAGGTGAGTACATCTTGGGAAGTAATGGTGAGAAAAGCACTCCTTCCTGGGACTTGATTCCAGTGTGTTTTAAAATTATTATTCTTGCTTTTGAAAACACGAAGTTGGAACCATGAAGGGAGAATGACTTTCAAGAGTGTCAATGCTGAGGATTAGAAGCCAGTGGCATAGGCGCAGGGGTCTGATGGGGAAGGTTTGGAAAAGAGCTCGGGAGCTTTGCTCCGAGGCCTGAACAACATCATGAAGACTTGTTTTTCCTGGGACTGAGCAAATTATCCTCAAGGGATTGACAACAGCCCTCTCCTGAGACAGTAGCTGAAAATCTGCTTGTGGAGTCAGTTCCCACCACCCAGGGCGTTAGTAGAGAGAAGCCTCGCTGAGATCTGTTTTGCATCTTGTCTGCCAGAGTGTTTGCTGAACCAAGGCCTGGCCCTCCTTGCAGCCTCTGAGAACTGGCTGGGGGGCAGAATGAGCGACACAAGCCTGAGAAAAAGGAGAGAGGATGAGAAGTCCACCCAGAGCAAGGAGCCCAAGACCACAAGTCTCCAAAAGGAGGTGAGGCCGGCCGTGGGGACAGGCCCTTCCCGGGCGGGGGGTTATATCAGTGAGGAGCAGCAGGCCCTCCCAGTTAACCTCTCATTTGCAAAGTGGATCTCTGAGTGAACAAGTCTTTGGACTTACCTCCTTCCCTCTGGCCAGTGAACTCAGCATTTTCTTGTAGAGTTAATACACGTGTGCTTCTATGCCCTGGGTTAGGGCCTGGACGGGCTGGTTCTTGTTCGGACCTATGGCCTCTTCGGGGATGACCGGCATCTTCCCCAAATACCTGTCCCTCTCATGTTTGAGTATCTTCAGTGACAGGGAATTCCCATTCCTTCTTGGTGAGTCTAGCTGGGGTGGCGAGTCTGACATGGCTGTGAAACAGATGAGCCCTCTGGGCTGGAATGTAGTAAGGACTGGACCTGGAGGTGCTCAGGCACGAGAAGGGCCCAGAGCCTGTGTGACACGGGGCTGGCACCAGGCCTGCAAAGAAAGGGAGCTTGGCGGGGGCGAGGTAGTGAAGGCGGAACAGGGCTCAGTGCCCCGCCTGCAGCGTGCCAGTCCCAGGTGGATGGAAGCAGCATGGGGTGGGCGTGGAGGGACAAGCTTCAGGCTCCTAGGATATAGAGGGAGGGCCCCTGAGCAGTATCAGGATGGCTTCAAGGACAGGACAAGCTCCCCTGGGAGCTCCTGGCCTGGCAGCAGAGGGGACAGAGGGATACAGAGGATAGTATGGCTTGGCTGTAGGCTGGCCTGGGCCAGTGCTGCCCAGTGGAAAGAGCACAGCTGAGCTAACCCCACACATGTCTGAAACTCAGGCAACTTCAAAATGAATGCAGACCTCAGCAGGAGAGGAGGGATTCTGGAGGGTCCCCAGGCTGGTGGGGACAGCTGAGACTGTCCTGGGTGGGGACACTGCTCCTCGAGGCCCCTCTGCCAAGTGTGTGTGTCCCTTGGTGGCAAGTCACAGTTGGGGTCTTACCTGTATTCCGGGATCTAGTCCTGAGCACAGCCTCTGCCCGGGTAGGCGAGCACATACATGCACCATCACCTTGGATTCCAGAAGTCAGGCCTGGTGAGTAGGGGCCTGAGTCAGACATGTTCTTTCTTTTAAAAAAGTATTTTTCTTGATTTGATTCATAGATGATTTATGTGAGACACGCAGATCTTTAGTGTTCAGTTTGATGGTGGGCCCCAGCCTTGAGTTCTGCCCCTGTAGATAACTTTGCCTGTTGAGCTTGGCTGGCGTGGAATCACACCGTGCATCAGCTGGGTCTCCTTGGTAGGAAGCTCATTCCCTACAGAGAGGCACCAAAGCATACAGCCCGTTAATGTCCCTGGAAGCCTGCATTGCCTTACCCACACTGGCTGTGTAACCCTGGGCTGTAACGTAGCCTTCCTGTGCCTCCATCTGCTCCTCTGTAAAGTGGGGGTGACGATGGTATGCCCAGCTCCTGAGGCTGTCACGAGTATGTCACATTGACGTCATGTCAGCAAAGCCTGTGTTACGGCCTGGGAAGGGGCTGGCACTGCACCGGCCACACCGAAGGCAGGCGGTGGGCCCCCTGGGCTGGATCCAGGTGGCAGCGCCCACTCCTCCTTCCTCATGTCCAAGGTCGGCCTGTTCAGTGGCATTTGCATCATCGTGGGCACCATCATCGGCTCTGGGATCTTCATCTCCCCCAAGTCTGTGCTCAGCAACACGGCAGCTGTGGGGCCCTGTCTCATCATATGGGCGACCTGCGGGATTCTCGCAACACTGGGTAACAAGGCGACCCTCCCTGCTGAGCTCTCTCTGCTGAACATGGGGACAGGCTACCTGAACTCAGGGCAGTCGCATGAGAGAGCCCTGCAGCAAGGCCCTGTGAGCGTGGCCCCCCAGCGCGGGGAGGGCTCCCCGGACCAGGGCAATGCCTCACCGGGGCCTGAGACCCTCTCCTGTCTGTGTTCCAGGCGCTCTGTGCTTTGCAGAGCTTGGTACGATGATCACCAAGTCGGGGGGCGAGTACCCTTACCTGATGGAGGCCTTCGGCCCCATTCCTGCTTATCTCTTTTCCTGGACCAGCCTGTTCGTCATAAAGCCCACATCCTTTGCCATCATCTGTCTCAGCTTTTCCGAATACGTTTCTGCACCCTTCTACTCAGGCTGCGAGCCTCCCAAAGTTGTTGTGAAATGCCTGGCTGCGGCTGCCATCTGTGAGTACCCAAGTCAGAACCCCTGGGCAGGGCTCACAAAGGATCTGGCACAGATGGTGTGGGGAGACCCTGGCCTTTGCTCCTCGACATCCCGAAAGAGGCCAAGTGGGCTGGGGGCGCCGGTGGCCCAAAGCCCCTGTCCTTTGCTGGCCCTGCTGTGCTCTGCGGGACTGTGGCTGTGGGCCGACCCCCAAGGCGGCACTGGGCGGGCCTAGCTGCTTCTTCAACACCCGGGAGGGAGGCAGCCCAGCTAGATTTCAAAGGTCACCGCCAGGTGCATTTAATGGATGGGTGGTTGGTGGGGGGCGGCTGGGGGGTGCCTGGTCAGGGAAAGACCTCCCAGGGCCCCAGGAAGGGTGGAGACGTTGAGCTGCAGACACAAGGGTGCCCCACCTCGGATCTTCCCAGTGCTCATCACCACAGTGAACGCTCTGAGCGTGCGGCTGGGGAGCTACGTCCAGAACGTGTTCACAGCAGCCAAGCTGGTGATCGTGGCCATCATCATCGTCAGCGGAATTGTCCTGCTGGCCCAAGGTGACCCGCGGCCGGGAGGGTGGGTGGGCGCCGAGGCACGGCCTTTTCAGCTGGAGGTGTTGCCCCTAAGTGTGTCTCTAAGGAAGCAAGCAGGAATTCAACAGAAAGAACCTTCCGTTTCCCCACTTTTCAGGGTTTGTGTAACAACCTGAATCAGAGCCATCCCCTCCTTCCCATGGAGATGAAGCAGAGGCCCAGACTGGGCAGCTGACACCCACTATTCACACTGTCTGGCTTAATTACAGGAAATACAAAGAATTTTGAAAATTCTTTTGAAGGCACAAAAGTGTCTGTGGGAGCCATCAGTCTGGCATTTTATAATGGACTCTGGGCGTACGACGGATGGTAAGGCTCTTCTAAGATGCACACGTCTGGTTGTGGGTTTCTTTCGGTTATTTGAACTAAAACCAGGTGGAAAGCAACAATTTCTCCTTTCTGGGGCTGGGGGACCCTAAAATTCACTTTCCCCTCTCCCTTTTGTTATGCACCCCACATCTCGCCCTTCGCTCTCCCCGGACCCCAGAGACACCGTGACTGCTGCCCCTTTCCCAGTCTCTCAAGGCCGCAGCCTGGCAGGGCGGCCATGAGCAGGCAGCAGTGGGCAGCGCTGCCCAGGCCCTTGATGAGGCAAGAATATTCAGCGGCACTTCTGTTTCCACCTTGAAAACACTGGCTTTCGTCCAGGGGACTCTGTTTCCATCCGGAGAAGAAGACCGGCTGTCGGTGGTGCTGGGCTTTCCACTGCGCAAAGTGTCGGCTGTGTTCCTCTCCTTTTCAGGCAGTAAATCTGACTTTTCAAAGCACCTTGGGAACTCATCACTCCCAATAATTCTTGAAAATTCCAGGGCAATTCCCATGGAGGAAAAAGACGTCCCAACTGACAGACCAGGGTTTTCTCTGGAAGAAACGGCCCTGAGATTCCTGCAGAATTTTCTCCATGGTGGACAGTCTTAAATGAGGCCAACATTTATTACGTGTTTCACAATCTTAGCAAAGAAAATCAACGTCGTGTTGCTCACGTTACTTTGTTTTCCTCTAGGAATCAACTCAATTACATCACAGAGGAACTGAGAAACCCTTTCAGGTAAAAAAGCTGGGCAGGGCAGGAGACAGTGGGCAGGCAAGCGTGTTTGTCTTCTCCCAAACGAGAGGTGGGATTGCTGCCCACCATAATGCCGCGATCCCCTCCCAGGCAGCAAGGGGCTCCCGTGAGCTCATTTAACACTCGGAGAGGTTGATTTTGTTTGGGGTAGTGGAAAGGTGGTTAATAGGAAGAACAATATCTCTGGCTTGTTTTGCTTTATGAACAATTCAGTTTTCCTGCCCTGGAGTCTGAGAGAGGTAGAGTTCTTTCTCAGTTGAGAATGTCACGTCCCCACTGGGGCTCTGCTACCCCACAAGTCCCCGCGTCTGCATGGGCTTCAGCAAAGGCAGCTGGGACCCAGCCCAGCATGGGGAGCAGGCATGGGGATGGCCAGGGTGGCTGGGAGGAGACTGTTATTACAATCTTGGGAGCCTCTCATGGGCCACTCTGGTCTGACCCTGGCTCCCTGCGTCCCTTCCCTTCCCAGAAACCTGCCCTTGGCCATTGTCATCGGGATCCCACTGGTGACGGGGTGCTACATCCTCATGAATGTCTCCTACTTCACCGTGATGACTGCAACCGAGCTCCTGCAGTCCCAGGCTGTGGCCGTGGTGAGCACCCCTTGTCTCTGCTGGGCTGTGGTCTGAGAAGGGCACAGGCACCGTATAAATGCTCCGGCTGAAGTGCGCTGGTGGCGGGGAGGGAAATCATCACTCAGGAGCCCAGAGAGTGAACAGGATGGGGGTGGGGGTGACCTGGGTGCAGGCCCAGAGCTCGCCTGGAGCAGGGCTGGATTTAACCAGGGTTGGGGTTTTACCAAATATGAGGGAGAGAAAGGACAAGGCAGGAACTGAGGGCGAGCTTATGATAATGGATCGTGGTGCTGGTACAGACGGAGCAAGAGCAGCGGTCGGGAGGGGCAGTGACAAGGCGGGAGTCCGTGAGCTGGAGCCTTCGTGGGGCGGGGTAGCCCAGGAAATGGATTGGAAACAGACAGTGGGGTGACAAAGACGGGGAGAGTGGAGAGGTGCTGTCGTGGTCGTGCTGAGTCAGCCACCACAAGGGCAGATGGCTGAGGTGGGAAGGGGAACCGGCGCGTTCCGAGCGAGGGGATCAAGGAAAGGCAGGCTGGGTGTCAGGATGCTGAAATGACAGGACGCTGACGGGTGGGTGCGGAACACGTGCCTGTTACCATCTAAAAACACTGAGACAAGTCTGGAGAGAAAAACGGCCATGCTGCCAGGGGCCCTCTACTCCCCTCTCCAGGATGGGGGTCAGAGGCCCGGGGGCCGGGGCCTCCGGAGGGCCCAGCGGCTTACTGGGGACCCTCAGCCCTGGGGGCCGTGCAAGATCTCCGCACTCATCTGCTCCTCTCCCCAGACGTTTGGTGACCGCGTTCTCTACCCCGCCGCGTGGGTCGTCCCGCTCTTTGTGGCGTTCTCCACCATCGGCGCCGCCAACGGGACCTGCTTCACGGCGGGCAGGTAGGGCGCCCCCAGCTCCCACCCCCGGGGCAGAGGGTGGAAGACCAGCTCGGGGCAGAAACCCTCCTCACGACACAGTGGTAAGCCGAAGCCCAGGAAAGGCAGCGTGTGGCCTGACGAGCCGGTACCCCGGCGCTGGACGTGGCGGGCCCCGCAGGGCGGGAGAAGCAGGGGTTTCCGTGCGCTACTACTCGCCTTGTGCTTTTCACCGAGTGGTGGTGTCTCTGGGCATCTCGCGGAAATGTGCGCACAATCTAGATCAGGGATCGGCCGGCTTTTCCTTAATGGGCCAGATAGTAAACGTTTGCCTGTAGACCATACAAGTCTGTCACTTGGACGCAAGTCTGTCTTTGTAGTGCGACAGCAAACTGCCGTGGTTATGCTCCGCTGAAACGTTATTTACATAGGCAGGCACGGTTTGCCAGCCTCTGCCGCCTGGAGCCAGATAGCCGCTGTATTGTATTCCATTTTGTGATGTAGCGTCGTGATTTAACATAACCTCTGCCTATGGAGCTGGGTCGGGGGTGTTTCATGAACACTGCTATGGGGAGTGTTCTTGAATCCCCGTCTGGGCCCAGCCGTCCCGTGCTCTGAGTGGGCAGACTCCTGAGGGTGAGAGGTCACACGCACACACTATGTGCCAGAAGATCGTTCTTCTAAGGCTGTGTCAAAGCACACAGGCAGTGCTGGTCCTGAAACGTTCCTTCCTCAAACTCAAAGGTGTTTTGGCCATTCTAGATTCTTTGCACTTCCATACGAATTTTAAATCAGCTTGTCAACTACAAAAAAGCCTTCCGGGATTCTGACCAGGCCTGTGTTGAATCTACAGATCAGTTTGGAGAAAGGGCTGCCTTCTCACAAGTATTGATTCTTCCAATCTATGGGCATGGGCTCTATTGATTTTGGTCTTTTGTTTTAAAAAATGTTTTAGTAGTAGGTGACGGTATACAGTTCTTGCACATATTTTGTCAGATTTATCCCAAAATCTTTCATATTTTTTGTTGTAAATGTAATTTTCAAAATGAAAAAAATTTGATGGTTTATTGCTAGTTTATGGAAACATAATTTCAATAGCTCTATTGAAGTATAAGTAGCATAAAACTTTATAATTGTACTACTCAACGATTTTAGTGAATTTATAAAGCTGGACAAGCATCGTCACAATCCAATTCTAGAACAGTTTCCTCGTGCCTAATTGCAGTCGATCCCTGCTCCTACCTCCCACCATAGGCCATAGTGATGTGCTTCTGTGTCTGTGACTTTGCCTTTTCTAGACTTTTCATCTAGTGTGATACAGTATGTCATTTGTATCTGGCCTCTTTCACTTGGTGTATTATTTTTAAGGTTCATCAGTGTTGTAGCACTTATCATTCCTTTTAATCACTAAATAGTATATCCACTACATGGATATACTACATTTTATCCAAGATGCTTGGATTGTTTCAGTACGGGCCATGATGAACAATGCAGCTATGGACATTCAGCAATATGTCTGTGTAAAGATGTGTTTCCATGTCTCTCAGGTAGATTCCTAGGAATAGAATTGATGGATCATGTGGTAACTTTATGATTAACTTTTAAAGAAACTGCTTAACTGCTTTCTGAGTGAAAGTTCCATTTATGTTTCTATAAGCAACACATGAACATTCTGGTTTCGTCACATGCTCACCAACACTTGGTATTGTCTTTTTTATTATAGTCATTCTAGTGGGTATATCACTATGGTTTTAACTTGCATTCCTCTAATGACTAATCTTTATTAGCATTTTTATGTGCTAATTAGTCATTCATATATCTTCCAGTGAAATAACTATTCAGACCTTTTGTCCCTTTAGAAAATTTGGGCTATTTGTCATCTGATTGAGTTGTAAGAGCTCTCCATATATTCTGGATACAAATCCTTTTATCAGGTATCTGAACTGCACTTATATTTCTCCCAGTCTGTGACTTGTCTTATTTTCTTAATGTTTTTTAAACACCAATGTTTTTAACTTTGACAAAATCCAGTTTATCAATTTTTTTTTCATGGGTCATTGTTTTGTTGTCTTATCTAAGAACCTTTGCTCAAAGGTTTTGTTTTATCCTAGAAACTTTATAGATTCAGCTTTTACATGTGTGATCCATTTGGGGTTGACTTTGTATAGTTCTGTACCTGCATAGCTTTGAGTGTTGGCCAGGGACTTGTGCTCTATTGAATTATCCTGGATATAATTTTCATGGGATCAAATCTAAGATTTTTATTTACTTGCTTCTGACTTTTCTATCTCACATAGACAGACCTTCCTCTCCTTTCATGAATAGCTATCAAAGTTTTCTTCTAGCATTTTACTTTAGCTCTTTGGTCAATCTGGAATGCATTTTGATGTGAGGCATATAATCTTTTTCCCCAAATATTTACCTGTTGTCCCAGTATTATTTATTGAATAATCCATCCTTTCCCCTATAACTTGAAATGCCATCATCATTCCCGATGTACTTGGTTCACTTGCTTCATCTGATAAGACTTTTCTGTGCTGTTATCATACTTATTATGCATTTCACAGCTTCAGTAAAATCCAGTAGGACTGGTGCTCCCATGTTGGACTTCTCCTTTGCCTGTTCAGTTTTTATTTTTTAACATGATTCTGTCCAGTTCCAAAAGTCCTGCTTGCATTTTGACTGCATGGACTTTATAGATTGGTTTGGGGAGAACTGGTGGGAGGTAAAGAGTGAACTAACAGCCCCATCTTGACTAAAATCTCCCTCCCTCTAGCACCTCCGTTCTTCCTACTTTCACTGGCTTGTTTTGGGAAATAACACATTTATATATTTTCAAAGTTCAAATATATAGTTTTAAACAGATGGGACTTTCTGGATTTGTATTGCTGTGTTATTTTACTGTAGTAGGAAGTGTGTGATCTTTATGCTCTCACTTCTTCGGAAGTTTTCAGATCTCCCTGGTGGCCTACCGCAGTTTTTTTTTTCTGTATATATATATTTTTTTAATTAAGGTATCATTGATATACAATCCTATGAAGGTTTCACATGAGCAACATTGTGGTTTCAACAGTCACCCTTATTATCAAGTCCCCGCACACACCGCACTGCAATCACTGTCCATCAGCGTTGTGAGATGCTAGTCATTACTCTACTGCAGTTCTTACGGTCTTAAAAATGTGCATTCGATTAACTTCTTGCCTTTATAACACCATCAGGTTTGTGTCTTGACGGTTCAAATCTTATGCTCTCAGTGAATGTGTCAAGCATTGCCTTCTGTTTCAAAGGCTCTTGTTTTTTGTGTCTACTTGGTAGACTGTTCCCTTTTTAGTAGGAACTCTCCCTCTTTTTGCTTTAGATTCCATTGTGTCTGATATTGGTATTGCTGGACCAGCTGTCTTCAGGCTGCTGTTCTTGTTAATACAACATCCCATCCCCTTTACCTCCCACCTCTTGGTGTCCGAGATTTGCTTGTGTCTCAACAAACCCACCCCAAGAGTCTCCAGCTGGATAAGAGGAAGCTGATCACTTTTAATGTGGTTACAGCTACAGATCATTTTCTAACACATTCCTTTGTTTTCTTGGCTTAAAAAAAAATTATCCTGATTATCCATCAAATTTCCTTTATTCCTTTTTGTCTCCTGCTGATGTGGGTTATATTTCTATTCTTTTAGCAATTATCCTTACAATTTAACATAAATACCTGCAAGTCTATCAGTATCTCAGCTCTCTTCCCGGACACGTGCTCTGCCTTTTGTATGGTCTAGTGTACCAGCTACACCTTGTTTATAAACCCACACCTCCCAGAAAGGTCATTATGACAAAACTAACATGCCTATTACTTACAGACCCACCCAACATATTTCACCGCCATTCCCCTAATGTTGCATCTTCAATCAACTCCTTCTGAATTCACTTTTTGCTGGGAGATTTTTAAAAGTTGACTGGAGAATAGGAAATGTTTCATAGTTATTGTCTCCCTAAAAATGTTATTTTGCCAGCAATCTTGATAGTTTAGCTGTACAGAATTCTCATCTGAAATCAACTTCCCTCATCACTTTGAACATATTTCCCAAGAGACGTCTGTTGTTCTGATTGTCCTAATTCTTAATCTTTTAAAAATTCAGTAGCTTTAAAATTTTTTTCCTTACAATACTTTTACATCTGAGGATGTTTTTGTCTAGTACTGGGTTCAGTTGCAGGCTCAGTGTTTTCTATTCCGTATAAGCACTCTTTTTTTTTAAATTTGCTGTATCCCATTCAATGTAGTTGAACTTTTTCCTGTTCCTTCATTTCCTGTCTACATTGTCCATTTCTCTATGCTTCATACTCAGTTCTAGTTTCTGACTTCTCTTTTCACTTGTATCTAATTTATCTGTTATTGTAGAAACTTTTAATTTTTTTAGAAATTCTCTTTAGTTCTTTCCTCTTTCTCTCTTCAACATTTTAAGCAGTCTTTTAGGTTACTGCATCGCCAGCAGATCTTGGGAGGAACTACACCATATGGTGATGTCTACTGGTTCACCCTTTTCTGATTTTTTTTAACCACTGAAAACCTTCACAGCCCTGTATCTAAAGGCGAGACGCACCATGGCTGCTCCTGCCAGGTGTTCCAGGCCCTCGGAGCTATTGGCCCTCATCTAGTTTTTACATTTGTTTCTTGTGTAAGTTTTAGGATTCACATCAGCTCTCTTCTCGAGAGGGCCTCCCCAACCATCCCATCCTTTCCCCCAGCTAAGTGACGCCTCGGCACCGGGACACATTCCTCTCAGATGCATTTAGCCACCTCACTTTCTTCAAAACCCACTCACCTCTGGAGGCAGACTCCTCCTTGACGCCAGGGTCCCATCTCTGGCCCGTCTCGTCGTCTCAGTAGTGCAGCTCAGCCTGCTTGCTTACCAACTGACATCTCTATTACCACTTTTGCAGACTCGTGTACGTGGCAGGCCGGGAAGGCCACATGCTGAAAGTGCTCTCGTACATTAGTGTCAAGCGCCTGACTCCAGCCCCTGCCCTTATCTTTTATGTAAGTGTGCTTTCCACCATAAAAACACCCCTTGAAGGCAGAGGGCCCCTCAGTTTGGACGGGAAGGTAAACCTGTATTGCTAAGTCCAGTGGTTTTCAAATGATCCAGGTTCCCTTAGTCATTAGACATGAAACAGGAATATGAAAAAGCCCAAGACAGTTCAGTTTACCTAATCTCTGCTCCTTGTTCTAAACTTACCCATGAAAAGCACTGCTTGTCTCAACCAAGCTTGTATCCTCTATACTTCCTACCTATACATTTGTATGTTCTTGATCCTTGGAAACAAACTATACGAAAACCCACTAGCTAATAGGAAAGGAGAATATGTGCTTTGCAAGGTGGCTACTGATAGCAGCTTCTCATTATGGTCCAATACTTCAGAAGTCATGGGATCCTTGTGCAGTAAAAACCCTGACACCTTGTTATTGCAGTTCCTCAGGGAGGGTGGTCCCTGGTTGTGTCCAACTGTCCTGAGCACCTGTGGCTCATCCTTACCCCAGCCTCAGGGCCAGACTCCTCCTCCCAGCCCCAGAGGAGGACGGCACCGTCAGCCTGCTCCCGCTGAAAATGAAGAAACAGACCCGAATGACAAGGCTTTTGGAATCATAAGCGCAGGGTCATGCAACCAAGGCGGGTCAAGAACAGACCCAGATAACTTGCGGTTCACAGCCCAGGGCCCTTTCTCGCGAGGACAACTCTTTGGAAGGAAAACTCATAATTAGGAAGTTGGTGCAATACACATGCATATTTTGTTTTTCCCCAATTTAAAATCATAACATCAAAGAGTCACAAATTTTCCAAATCCTTTTTGTGTCAGCCTCAAAGAAAACACCTATCATAATCAAAGTCTGTATTTAACCCCAAATATAATAGGAAACATGGGAGTTGTCTTTCATGTGAAAATATTTATCCCCAGGCCCAACTGCTTCTTCACTCTCCTGTGAAGTGGTAAGGATAAAGTGTTTATGTACTGACGACCTAAGAATTCATTCTCCTTCTATTAGGGTATCATAGCGACTATTTACATCATCCCTGGTGACATAAACTCATTAGTCAATTACTTCAGTTTTGCCGCATGGATGTTTTACGGCTTGACGATTCTAGGACTGATTGTGATGAGGTTTACAAGGAAAGAAGCAGAAAGACCGATCAAGGTAAGTTTAGTGCCACAAATGTCACAAGTGGCTTTAATTTTTTGAAATGGATTATAGAGGGTAGTTACCTTAAACTCTAGTGGCATCCTTCTATTTCCAACTTGAGTCTACTTGTCTCTTGAATGTATTTTAGAGTAGGAATTTGCTTCTGAATTCTGGCCCCAGACCCATTTCCACACATGCAACCACAGATAGTGGTTTGGGCTCCTTCCCGCCTCCCGGACTGAATGCTGTGGGTTTATATACAAAAGAGGAAGAAGAATTGGTTTTGTTTTGCTTATGTTAGGGGCTTTTTTTTTTTTTTTTAGAACTGTGCTATTTAGGTAATAACAAGCACAGATGTAAGAAGGGAGGCAAGCTGAGGGCTTAAGTTACTGGGATGAGAGTAAAGATGTCTTTCAGCATTAGAATTTTGCTTCTGAAATTGGTCCTTCTAGTATTGAATCAAGAATATCACTGAGTCTCCAGAGTTATGTGAGACCAGAGCAGCCTGCCTGCAGTCAGGCAGTCCCACCTCAATCAGCTCACCTAGCAGGTGGAATCATGACACAGTATAGATTTTTAATCTGCATAAAAATCTCTCAAACAGAAATAAAAAGGGTTTGAGAGAAAATAACTATGGAGACAGGAAAAAAGGGATATAATACATGTAATAATTAGAATCCCTGGAGAAGAAAATGAGAGTAACAGAATTCTTAAAAAGTTTAATTCAAGAAACATTTCCTGGGATAGGAGGGAAAATGGGAGGGGGACTTGAACCAACACATTGACAGGTATACCAAGTAACTGGGAAATCGAAGCTAGAACACGCAACAATAAAATATATTCTCATTAAATGATGGAGTTTTTTGGAAACAAAAAAAACCTGCTGTGGGTGTCCACTCCCCTTTCCTGTCCTCCCCCAACCCCAAATCCACTTATAAAGGAAAAAATATAGGCATCAGACCTCCCGTGAGCAGCACTTCATACTCTAAGACCCGAATGACAACAGATTTAAGGTATTCAAGAAAAGAGAATGTAACCCAAAGATTTCATATCCAGTCAAACTGACTTTGAAAAATAAAATCAACCAACATGAAATAACTCAAGGCAGGTGTCATTAAATGAGACTGTCTGAGGAACTATCTAGAGAATGAGTTTCTGAAACCAAAAGGTCATTGGCATCAGGTGAATGTATGTAACTAGAGTACTAAGACTAAATGGTGGGAGATTAAAGATAACAAAAGAGTATATAAATATTAAGCATTGACAACATAACAGAGATGGAAGAGAAAGAGTGTGAAAGTATGCCAGAGAAACTGCCTTACATACTATTTAAAATTAGATGCAGGGGGAAAGAGAATTCCTGGCTAATTTCATTACTGCTTATTACCGACAGTATCTAAAAAAGAGGAGACTAAGGTATGTCTACTATTTATAATGTTTACCCTCAGAACAGAAGCACAGCACTTACAAATGCCAAAAGGTATTATCAAAAAAACAAAAAATAAAGAGAGACACAAACCCAATAGACTGTATAATAAAAGACCTCTTACATAAAGAATCAGACTGGGAAACAATCAGAGTACCTTCCTGGTCAACATTTTCTTGGTAGAATGCATAATTATTAGGGCTTTCTGCTGTTGTCATTGTTTATTAGTTGTTAATACCACAAAACTTTATAGAAATCTATCAATCTCTTAATATTCTGACTTATAGCTGGTAGTGATATGGGAAAGTTAATATTTAAATTCTCAAAATGAAATACAATATTTTTAATATGAATGTGAGGAAAGTGTCAAATTGCATTCCAATTCCAACACAAGTCAGAATCGTGCATAGGCATACTGAAAAGTGTGAGGCTTGTATGTCTCAGATGTAACCACTTGTTAACCATACTAAGTGGCTGGACATCAGGAAATCATTTTAAAGAACTTTACTTCCTGGTACAATATACGTTCTATGTAGTTTGTAGTTCTATGTTAGAATTACAAACTACATTCTCTGTTTCTAATGCAACAGAGCAGGAAATTAATAAAAAATTAAACTTTTCAGTCCAAAGGAAATAGGAAATCAAAGTACATAAATCCCTAAAAACAATAATGAAAATGACATATAATCCATGATCAGTGCTTTAAAGAAGTTTGCATTAAATGTATCAAAAATGAAATTAAATAGGCAACTCAAAAAGTAAAAGAACAAAGAAAACCAAGAATACAGAGGGAATTGATAAACAACAGAATTTATGGTTCTTAACTGGACTATTTGAGTTTTAGAATTTTCCCATGAATTCTTATTCTGCTGGGGTTACACTTTCCTAGGAAATTGTTCATTCCATCTAGGTGTTCAAATTCATTTGTATAGAGTTGTACAAATTAGTTTTATGATTAAAAACACTTCTTATGCTCTGGAGATTATTTATCCATTTTTATTTATTATTTGTATGTTTGTGCTTTAATTTTTCAAGTTAGCTACAGGTTGTTTTATGGATATTTCAAATTATTTTTATGGAATATATTAGTGATACCCAACCTTACAAAGATGGCAAAAAAAAGGCAGGTGGGAGAAGAAAATCACAGACCAATCTCGCTTTTGAATACTGATATAAAATCTTTAAAATTGTTTAACAAATAGAATCCAATTACGTTAAAAGATAGTATGTCACAACTAAGCCAAATCTATGTGAGGATGGTTAAAGATAGAAAATCTATTAATTATGGGTTTAATTTCTGGATGGATATAATTCATCATATTAGTACACCTATGGAGAAAAGCCCTATGATGGTATCCCACAGATGCCAAAAACAACCAAGTAAAATTCAACATACATTCCTTACTGATAAAGACAGGAATTTATAACTATTTCTTAAGCATGGTCTCTCTTTCTCTCTCTCACACACACACCCTACAGCAAAAAGCTATCTTTAATAAGGTAACACTAGAGAGCTGTCTGCTAAAATGAACAAGAATGCCTTCTATCTGTCATCTAACACTGCCTGAAGACACCAGCAGGGCGATCAGAAAAGAGAAGGCAATCTGGAGCAAAAGGATTAGAGAAGACATTAAAGGCTCTGAAACTCTCCTTTCCAAGATAATAAAATTGTACATCTGGAAAATCTGAGAAAGGATCAAAGAAAAAAAAGAAAAATATAGAAAAGTAGTAAGATATAAAATTAACACATTGGAATCAGTAGCCTTTATTTATAAAAGTATCCAATTCAAAGATAATGCAAGAGAATACCTCATTCCCCAAAACAAAAAACAGACTTAGCAAGCAGTTAGACCTCTAAGTGGAAAAGTAATTCTCCTGAAAGACAGAAAAGGTAATTTGAATAAATGAAAATTCATACATGTTTTTGGATAGAAAGATGTCACACTGTTCCTTCATTAAGACATTTAATGAGAGCACAATAAAAAACACCATCTAATATATTTTTTGGAGTTAGATGATTATAAAGTTCATATTGAAGAACACAGATTAGTCAAGAAAAAACTTTTTAAAAAAGAGCAATATTAAAATACAAAGATTCTAAAATTTAAGTATTATGGTCTAATGCATGAAAAAAATTAATTGCTTTGTAATCCAAGAATTGGGAAAACCTTTCCTAAGATTCAAAATCCAGAAGTCATAAGGAGAAAAAAGGACAAATATGACACCAATGAAGTAAACATTTATACATTAAAAAAAGAAAAAGTTAAAAATATACATAATGTAATGGGTGAAACAGTCATACCACAAAAAAGGGCTAATATTCTTAAAGAGCTCCTTAAAATTGAGATGGGAATTACCAACAAATGGAGAAATGGAGAAAAGATATAGAAAGACAGTTCAAAGAAAAAAATGCAATGACACTTAAAACTGAAACAAATGCCAGTAAGCCCAATGTTGCTCCTAATATGAGAATGCATAACAAAATTCTAATGAAACACCATTTCTTGCCTGTGAGATGGGCAGAAATACAACGTCTGGCCTTCCTCCATTGGTGAGGCTAGGGAACAGCCTCTCTGATGTCCACCAAACACTGCTAGTGGACTACAAATGGTTTAGCCACTGTAGAAGGAAACTTGTCAGTATCTAACAAGTTATGTATGCATTTACCTTTTGACCCAGCCATCCCATTTTGAGATAATCTATCCCTAAGTAAAATTTACTTTAGCATGAGCTGTAACAGCAAAAGATTCAGTACAACCCAGTGCCAACTAATGGGAGATGCTAAATAAATTTTGGTGCATCAACAAAGTACAGTATGGGACAGTAGAAGATGGATGAGAAATAATTTCATGTATTGCCATGGCACTATCTCTGGAATATATTAATAGCAAAAAGCAAGGTGTGAAACTATCTTTTATGTATTTGCTACCTTTTCTAGAAGAGTAGATGATGAACACGTATATGTGTGTACACGCATACATAAATGTATATTTGCTCAAAGAAATAATGGACAGGTAAAGCTAGAATTGAGACAATATACAGGATAAATCATCCAATTCCTACAAGTCAATGACAAGACAAAAAAAAAAGAGAGAGAGGAGGAAAGAAACATGTCAGGGACAAAGTCCACATCAGAGATGTATACTGAGTATTTACAGAAAAATGACATGATGTCTGGTGTTTTCTTTATATTCTAGGGAAAAGAGAAAGTAGAGTAGTAAAAGTAAGACTGGCGAAATTACTTAAAAATTTTTGGACAGTGGGTACCTGGAGTTCATTATATTCTGCTATCTCAGTGTTTTTGTTTTCAGCAAACTTTTCCAAAACAAAATGAATGCACCTGGGCCAATCACACCCCCGTGTTTCTGCCTCCAGGTGCCCATTTTCATCCCCATCTTGGTGACTCTCGTGTCTGTGTTTTTGGTTCTGGCGCCAATCATCAGTGAGCCCGCGTGGGAGTACCTCTACTGTGTGTTATTTATACTGAGCGGCCTAATATTTTACTTCCTTTTTGTCCACTATAAGTTCGGATGGGCCCAGAAAATCTCAAGTAAGTATCAGCCAAGGGCTGTTCTGTCAGTGAGGTGCGGAGAGGGGCGGCGTGCTGCAACTCCCCTGCCCTCACTCTGCCGAGACCTTCCTGCCACAGGACCCCACGCGGCTAGCAGACCTCACCTCCTCTTTGACCTGCTCCCCTCAGTGCGACACCTCTGGGTTCCACCTGGGGCACCTCCTTTGCTCTTGTTAATTACTGTACCAAATGGGAAGGAAAAACACCATTTTCTTTTCATTGTAAACTAATATAAAATTTACCATCTTAACCATTTTTAAGGGTACTTAACCATTTTAAAGTATATTCACAGTGCTGTGCATCTGATCTCTAGAACACCTCTTTCTTTTGCCCGATACACAGACATCACCTGAGAGGCTCAGCAGCATCCCTCAGACACCCAGAAAGTGACAGGGTTGGGACGGTGGCCTGGGTCTCCCAATGCCTTCCAGCCTTCCACTCGGCAATCCTGGTTCCTCATCTGTTGTAGGATGACTGTTTAAAAGCTGAGCTATGTTAGCCACTCTCACCTTGAAAAAGAAAGTAGTGGTACCAAAGTTCATCAAGGAGACTCAGAAGGACACTCGTGTATTATCTTTACAATGTGTTTCCCGATTTACAAAAGCCTTCCAGGCTCCCGAGTGCCCTCACCAGGCCAACAGCAATCCATGGGCCATTTCTTGGCCTCCCTCTCCCTGCAAGTTGAGGTGCTAGAAGGCAGGAATTGGGCTGTGCATAATTTAATCCTGGACTTATGCACCAGCCACTTAATATCTATTGAGTAAATGTGATTATAAATCTGCCCCTTCTTTTCTCCTTCAGCTTGTCTGAACAAAGAAGTACCACCATTCCTTCAGGTACCCTGGGTGGTTTTTATTTATAATACATGCAACTCAGAGAGACATACAAGGTAGAAAAAGCAAAACTCAACTGGAAGCGGGTGAAGTTGGCCTGAGACTTTATTTAGCCTGAGCTGGTGGGCACTGAGGGTGCCTTTCTCCAGCCCATGCAAGTTTCAGACCCTCTCATCTGTGAAATCTGACTGTGGTGTTGTAAGAGAGAACCCGTTCCATATTGATTGAGAACATGAAACCAAAAACACAAAATGCATTATTTCTACCAAGGACTTTTCTCCTTTCCTGGAACAGTTCTGCCCAGCCCTAACCTGGTCACACCCTGAGCTGAGAGACTGGCTGCAGGCCCACTATTAAGAGGAAAGAAAATTTATTACTGAAAGAAAAACAGCCATTGTCCCCCTCCCCACCCCACCCCCACACCTCTGAAAATAAACTTAGATTTGATCATACCAGCAGAGAAACTAGCCTGGATGACTTACAGTCTAAAAGTATAGACTATGTCTTATTTCTCAGCTTTAGAATATTTAGCCAAGCTGCTCCCTACAAAAACCTGTAAGCTGGAATTAAGGAGGTAGAAAGAATGAACAATCTGGATTTTCAACAAGATGCTTAGTGACTTCAGACTAAATATTCAACTCTTGGTCAGTGGCAGTTAAATACACACACAGAATTGAGCCATTCATATTTGCCCGATGGAGTACAACGTTTGGTGGCAATAAAACTTAGCAGGTCCAAGGGTGGTTCTGGCCACCTGGGACTACCACCGTCCCCTGAGCGAGGGCTCCAAGGGGGACACACCAAGGGGCACTAACAGTGTTACTGCCGATATAATATATGACAATATAACAATAAGCAGGATGAAGTTGACTTGTATTTCTGACCGATCCCCACCCCAGGGCCTGTCACCATGCACCTGCAAATGCTACTGGAAGTGGTCCCACCAGAGGAAGCTCCGGAGTAGTCGCTCTGTCTCCTGGAACCAAGTCTAAGCTGTGGTGACTTTACTTTTGTAAGCAGTATTTGTGGTTATTTCTTACTGATGCTTTCTTAAGAAAAAGAATGTATTCAGATGTTTATAATACTGTTATTTTCAGATATCCTTAATTCTTTGGGTGGGGGTTCTAGACAGGCACAGGGATGGGTGGCTGCTCATGTTAGCAGGTGCAGGTGCACTCAACGGATGGCTGCCAGCCAGGAAAGGGCTGCCACCCTTTAACAAGGGGCACAGTGCATGTACTTAAATCAAGGGTATTCTTCAAACTTGGTGATCAATATTAGGTATATGTATTTATATAGAATTGGTGAGATTTCTGCTTTGATTGAAATAGATTTTTAAAATACTAAACTACAAATGTTTTGCCACCTACCAAAAGTCTTGCCACCCCGATGTTTTACCTGGGATATATGTGGACAGGGCCATCCAGGCTGAATGTTGAGGCCCCCCCTGCAAAGCTGGCCATCTGGAACCAGTCGCAGCCTGTGCGTCCACAGCCGGTACTGTGATGAGTGGTCAGCATCATGGGCTCCCCAACAGCCTTCATTGGCCTTTTGGCCAAACCAGGAAGTGGGGTGAATAAATTTTATATTTGGCACTCAGGGAAAATACTAAAACACGTAAGTAACGTTTCTCTGAAAACACTGAAGTTTTATTGGTATACTACAACTTCCACACCAAAATTGACTAAGTATGTGAGCAATTTAGAAAAACAGAGACAAAAGAACCTTTAAGCTGCATTGTAGAAATTTACCCAAAACAGGAAAACCTGTACATACTAATAGTAGAACCAAACAAAAAAATTAGTAATTGTTTGCATTTCACAAACCAGTGTCCTATGTCCTAGAAAATGCTATTCAGAACTTCGGACAATAGTAAATTTAAACATGAGAAAAAAATTGAGACTTAAACAAATAGTCCTCCTCCCCCGATGTTTTCATTTAGCTGTCTGTGAACTACACAAGATAATTAGCATTACATCGTCTCTGGGAGCAGGACCCCACCATTTCTACGTGGGCAACACGTATTCATGCAACTCTACTACTTGCTGTTGTTATTTGCTATGTTTCACAAAAGAGACTGAATACAACCGAGCACACGCTGCAGATGGCCCACAGTCACGGGGGAGGCCAGCGCAGCCCAGGGGCCTGGCCACCACCCCAGAGCCCTCCCTGGCCGAGCAAATGTTGCTTCTACAGAAACTGACACACCTGAGGACATTAGGAGTCAAACCTTTGCTGGCAAAGACACCAGGACTTCATGCTTCCCAAAGAGCCCGTCCAAGCTAGCCACAAAAAAGGAGAATCAAGGAAGGGAAAAAAAGGAAAAAAAAAAATCACACAAATTCGTGTGCCAATTTGACACCTGCCAGTCAACCCGCAGGAGTTGCGGCAGCAGCTCCTGGACGCGCTCCAGCCGCTGTGCAGGCTGCTCCAGCAGAGGGCAGTGGTCGGCCCCAGTCAGGAGCCCACGGCCCACCCGGGAGCATTCTGGGCACCCCCAGGGTGAGGCGAGGCTGCACAGTGAGCAGAATGTCTTATTTTACAGATGAGGAAACTGAGAGCCAGAGTGGGATGCAGGCCTGCTCACAGGATGGCTTGGTGATAGAGCCGTAGGGCTTATGCCAGGGATGTACAAAAACTTGGGCATCTGTGCTTTCTGACGTATGAAAAGAATGCAGATCTTGGGGGCAGTCTCAACAGTCCCATTCTATCCATGTTCTGCACTTTCAGGCAAAGCTGCCCAACTCCCATCGAGGAAGTGAACAGGATTTAGATTTCTCAACAGCTCAGCTTTCTAAATTGTTCAATTAACATGACAAGTCAGGCTCTGGGCATTCCCGCATTTAAGTGGTAATGATGATACCCATTTCTCCTGAAAACCGGTGACCCTGGGCATCACTGCTTCCCCCTAGGATGGCGTCGGGGGTGTCTTTAGGATTCCCCACATGCAGGCGCTCTGAGGTCCTTTCAGGTCCCACCGGAGAGAAACCGTCGTCTCCTGTGCCTGGAACTCCGCCGGCTCAGGGTGCGCCCCACAAATAGCAGCTCTCCCTCCCAAAGCCCTGGCTTTGGTCGGTGCAACCCCATTTTCATCCCTGGACTACCTCTTCATAAGAAGTAAACTTACCCTGAGTAGCTACCAAGATCTTAAGAATCCCAGAAGTGTTCATGCACAGTCAGTTATATCGAATCCCAACTAACTCCTGGTTGAAAAGGCCTGTTAGGCAGTGCTGAGTATAATTGTGGAAGCCAGAAACCTCGCTTTCTATGCACAAGACCAGGTTTTCAGGAATGCACCAAAAGTAAGTCTACATGAAAAATGTGAACAGACTAACTCCGAAGGGCGCAGTTCATCACCCCAATGCCGCAGCGTGCTCTGTCCCTCGAGTGTGTCGTTCCGGGCTGTGGAGGCCAGGCCTGTGTTAGACTGGCTTCCTCTGTCCTCGACAGTCACCCTGCCTTTTTTCAAATGGGCTCAGAATTTCTCACCATTACCAATCCCAGTGCTGAAAGATGATACTCATATTTATTCTTGAAACGCAAAAAAGTTGACAGTAACTCTGCTTTTCTGAGCTTTCGTTCACACAGCAACATCTCCTATTGTCTGGTCTCCCGGCTGCTCAGGATTTAGTTCACATTGTCATTCACTGTCACTGTCGTCATCCTCCGAAGTTTTGTCACTGTTCTCAACCAGCTCTGCCACTTTGCGGGGCAGGTTTTTAGAATTTACAACTAAAAGAGTTAGATATTATTTTAAAATGTTAATTATAGACTAATTAGCAAATCTTTCCCCTCATTATTTTGGTCAATGCAGGAAAAGTCTCAGGGTCTTGCTCTATTTTGTGACTCATTTTATATTTTCATTATTTTAGGCAGAAATGAATTGGTGAAATTTGCCTGCTTATAAATAATTATAGTCCTAGTATTATAAGAAATTGTATTTATAACCAAGAATTGTCACCTCCTCAAACCAGAACATAACAGCACCAAGATCAACTACAAAGAGAAAACTAATTCCTAAGGCTCTACATTAACAACCCATTTCCACAAAGGCTGCCTTCCTACAATCAGCTGGGTGCTTACGCCCACCCCCTTGGCTCCCAGGCTTTCTCCAGGGAGGCAGTGCACCCCACTTACCCTCCGAGAAGTGGCCATCATCATCACTTTCTTCCCAGTGATCAAAATCAAAAGCCACATTAGGGTTCTGTTCAATATAACAGTTCACATTACATGAGAGAATAAAACACTCAGAGTGTTAAGAGTATTCATGCAACTCTACTACTTGCTGTTGTTATTTGCTATGTTTCACAAAAGAGACTGAATACAACCGAGCACACGCTGCAGATGGCCCACAGTCACGGGGGAGGCCAGCGCAGCCCAGGGGCCTGGCCACCACCCCAGAGCCCTCCCTGGCCGAGCAAATGTTGCTTCTACAGAAACTGACACACCTGAGGACATTAGGAGTCAAACCTTTGCTGGCAAAGACACCAGGACTTCATGCTTCCCAAAGAGCCCGTCCAAGCTAGCCACAAAAAAGGAGAATCAAGGAAGGGAAAAAAAGGAAAAAAAAAAATCACACAAATTCGTGTGCCAATTTGACACCTGCCAGTCAACCCGCAGGAGTTGCGGCAGCAGCTCCTGGACGCGCTCCAGCCGCTGTGCAGGCTGCTCCAGCAGAGGGCAGTGGTCGGCCCCAGTCAGGAGCCCACGGCCCACCCGGGAGCATTCTGGGCACCCCCAGGGTGAGGCGAGGCTGCACAGTGAGCAGAATGTCTTATTTTACAGATGAGGAAACTGAGAGCCAGAGTGGGATGCAGGCCTGCTCACAGGATGGCTTGGTGATAGAGCCGTAGGGCTTATGCCAGGGATGTACAAAAACTTGGGCATCTGTGCTTTCTGACGTATGAAAAGAATGCAGATCTTGGGGGCAGTCTCAACAGTCCCATTCTATCCATGTTCTGCACTTTCAGGCAAAGCTGCCCAACTCCCATCGAGGAAGTGAACAGGATTTAGATTTCTCAACAGCTCAGCTTTCTAAATTGTTCAATTAACATGACAAGTCAGGCTCTGGGCATTCCCGCATTTAAGTGGTAATGATGATACCCATTTCTCCTGAAAACCGGTGACCCTGGGCATCACTGCTTCCCCCTAGGATGGCGTCGGGGGTGTCTTTAGGATTCCCCACATGCAGGCGCTCTGAGGTCCTTTCAGGTCCCACCGGAGAGAAACCGTCGTCTCCTGTGCCTGGAACTCCGCCGGCTCAGGGTGCGCCCCACAAATAGCAGCTCTCCCTCCCAAAGCCCTGGCTTTGGTCGGTGCAACCCCATTTTCATCCCTGGACTACCTCTTCATAAGAAGTAAACTTACCCTGAGTAGCTACCAAGATCTTAAGAATCCCAGAAGTGTTCATGCACAGTCAGTTATATCGAATCCCAACTAACACCTGGTTGAAAAGGCCTGTTAGGCAGTGCTGAGTATAATTGTGGAAGCCAGAAACCTCGCTTTCTATGCACAAGACCAGGTTTTCAGGAATGCACCAAAAGTAAGTCTACATGAAAAATGTGAACAGACTAACTCCGAAGGGCGCAGTTCATCACCCCAATGCCGCAGCGTGCTCTGTCCCTCGAGTGTGTCGTTCCGGGCTGTGGAGGCCAGGCCTGTGTTAGACTGGCTTCCTCTGTCCTCGACAGTCACCCTGCCTTTTTTCAAATGGGCTCAGAATTTCTCACCATTACCAATCCCAGTGCTGAAAGATGATACTCATATTTATTCTTGAAACGCAAAAAAGTTGACAGTAACTCTGCTTTTCTGAGCTTTCGTTCACACAGCAACATCTCCTATTGTCTGGTCTCCCGGCTGCTCAGGATTTAGTTCACATTGTCATTCACTGTCACTGTCGTCATCCTCCGAAGTTTTGTCACTGTTCTCAACCAGCTCTGCCACTTTGCGGGGCAGGTTTTTAGAATTTACAACTAAAAGAGTTAGATATTATTTTAAAATGTTAATTATAGACTAATTAGCAAATCTTTCCCCTCATTATTTTGGTCAATGCAGGAAAAGTCTCAGGGTCTTGCTCTATTTTGTGACTCATTTTATATTTTCATTATTTTAGGCAGAAATGAATTGGTGAAATTTGCCTGCTTATAAATAATTATAGTCCTAGTATTATAAGAAATTGTATTTATAACCAAGAATTGTCACCTCCTCAAACCAGAACATAACAGCACCAAGATCAACTACAAAGAGAAAACTAATTCCTAAGGCTCTACATTAACAACCCATTTCCACAAAGGCTGCCTTCCTACAATCAGCTGGGTGCTTACGCCCACCCCCTTGGCTCCCAGGCTTTCTCCAGGGAGGCAGTGCACCCCACTTACCCTCCGAGAAGTGGCCATCATCATCACTTTCTTCCCAGTGATCAAAATCAAAAGCCACATTAGGGTTCTGTTCAATATAACAGTTCACATTACATGAGAGAATAAAACACTCAGAGTGTTAAGACCAGTCAGCCACAGATACTCTCAACTCACCTTCTGTTTGAGTAAGCGACACCAAGATTCCCTTCTCTCTTTTGCAAGAGTGATTACAGGTTCATCGTTCTGAAGGACGCATTTGCAGTCATCTTTCGTTATACTGGCATGCAGCTCCATATCAGCCAAGTAAAATTTCTCTCCTACCCAGGCACTAGGTTTGCAAACAGAAATAGAGTCAGCCTTCTTAAAAGTGTTAAAAAATTATTTGTTTTTTTTTATAGGAAATATATATGAACCTACCTGAAAACAACTCTATCTCTAAAATATTTACATTTATAATCTTTTACATTCCTTATGCTTATCTTCAATATGACTACATCTTCCTTTTGGAACCATTTTATTTGTGGGTGGAAGCTAGAAGAAAAGAAAAAGGCTTACACACTCATCGCTATTTATTCTCTAGGGAAGGATGGGAAGTAGACCGCAATAACAGATGGACTTACCTTTTCAGAGGCTCTGTAGTTTTGTTAAGAGGAGCATCTCCAGTGTTTTCAGGCAAAGTTTCTGTACAAAAAAGTCAAATTGTCCTATAGGTTATTTCCAAGTATCCGGTTGCAAAGAATAATTAGAAAAAATTAAAGGGCATATCACTTAGTAAAACTAGTAAAAACAGACTTTGACAAGTATTACAATTAAATAATCCAGAAAGTAAATCCCTCTCTGAAAAGGAACTGCATTACAGTTGGTGGCTACAGGATCCCAATGGTCCTGCTTCTCTGCTGCGTTCTTTACCTGCAAGGACCCTACCAAAGGTAACTTCTGCACAGCGGCCAACAGACACAAGGAACCAAAGCTCAATGTAACATTTCTTAAAAGAGTGTAAGTTAAACATCTTAATCTATAATACTAGAAGCTTCCATCCAACGACTTGAGCAAGAATGTTCAAAGCAGCTTCAAAAACTAAAAACCATCTCAACATCTATCAACAGGTACATAAGTGACAGGAATGAAAAATATATTGGAGAGAATACACCCAATATAGTGGTAACTTTGTATGGGGACAGATGGTAACCACACTTGTCAAATCACTGTTGTGTAACCTGTAACATACTATTTCTTATCAACTATACTTCAATTAAAAAATGGGCAACAAATAAATTGTGGTATATTCATTTCACAGAATACACCTCAGCAATAAAAACACCACCTCTGCTTACAATAATCTAGATGAATTTCACAAACATGATGCTGAGTGACAAGCAACAGAATATATATACATATATAAATATATATAAATATATCTATCTATCTATCTATCTATATATATATATAATAGATATATTTCCAATTCAGCAAAATTAGTGGTGATAAAAGTCAGAACAGTGGTTCCTGGGAAAGGTTCTAGATGTGAAGGTGCCTGAGGGAGATGCCTGGTGTTCTGGAAATGTTCAACAGCCTGATCTGGGTGTGGTTAGTGGGCATGTACATGTGTAAAAAGTTCTGATGAGCTAAACACTGAAGATCTCTTCACTTTACTGGATGAACATACCTCAAATAACAAAAGGAAAGAAGTTATCAAAAAAACATTGGTATCTGAATTGTCAAAAATAGGAGGTTAGGCTTATGTCACCTCTATCTAAGTGGAAAGCCTAAACATTAGAAAATTCCCAAGCATTAATGATTTTATGTTAACCATCTTTTAAATAACCAACCATGCTTCTGATCTTCTGAGTGTGTCTCGGGGTCAGCACCTCTGTCCGGGCCCCTGCCCTCCCGTGGCGTGCTCTGCAGACCTGTG